TCTAATGCCTGAACATGGCGAGAAAAAATGAGAACTGGAAAGACACAATTTTGATATGTGGAATAAAGCAACAGAAGTATGAATATTGAATCCAACCTTATAGATTGCCAAAGATATGGTAGTAAACCATGCCTGCAAGGAAAAAGAAGAAAATCAATATTACTTTGAGAAACAACGGGTTTAGAAAACCAGAACAAAGCAGCAGTATGACAGAGATGCATCCATTACACAGAGATTGCTGAAAATTTGCATTTTGAATCAGTTATTTTTTAAATGTGATATACAAACGAGCTGAATAAGACGCGTGCGCACACAGAGATTGTAAACCTGAACCAATGAGGAAATATCCCCCATTTGTGCTCACTCCAACGCTTGGGGAAAAAGTAACCTGATTTTAAGCCCATCTAATGGAGACTAAATGAATGAAAGGAAAGATTATGATCAATTTTAAATGGCAGTCAAATATATCTGAGGAGCATACTGTGCCTTCAATGTTCATTTTTAAAGGATAAAACCTTCTACAACAATTGTCAAGCCAGGAGACCCTCATCATCTTCCAAAATGAGTTGTTTATACAATTCAATGTAGACAACTACAAGAGCCCAGTTTCGTCAATAAAACCTTTTCTTTACACTCTAGGGTTGAAAAGAGAGACTCTTCCGTACAATCTGAGGCAGTATATTATCTTTTCAGGCTAAATTATTGAGACTAGAGAAGGAGGTAGCAATATGCTGATTCCAGAGAGTAAGGAAAAACCATTTTTTTAGGGGGGTGGAGGGCCCAATGGCTAGAAGATAGAATACAATCATAAGAGATCCATAAACCATCAATGACAATTGAAGAAAATCAAAATGACTAGCCCATGGAAAAGTTTTAAGTATGAATTTAACAAACTAGAGCAGAAGCTCCAGAAGAATAGTGTCATTTACGCATAAAGCACAAAGGATAGAGATGAAAACCTCTCTTTCTTCTTCTCCATCGTCATCCAATGCTTCTTCTTCTCCTGTCTCAACAGGGGTGGAAGATGCAGCAGCTTTGGTGGAACGGCCACGTCTCTCCTTCCTCTCCTTTATTTCCAGCAACTTTGACTCTGCTGCTCTTTGACATTTAAATCTAGCAATCTACAAAAGAGGCCCCAAAATCATTAAATTACTGGTAAACTTCTATTCTCCATTATATCACAGAGTACATTTTGTTTAGATTTGCTTGTCCAATTCACATTAAAAGCAGGAAAAAGTTTAACAATACAAACTGTGTGTTAGTGTTAAACCTCGTTGATCATGTCACACCATACTTTAATAAAATCTTACCTTTCTGGCCCTCTGATCAGCAACAGATTTTGGGGCCCCTTGCTTATAAGATTCTAACTCTTCTTGTGGAACAAGCTCCATTGCTTCACAAAATGAGAGAAAATCCTGCAGAATGTTATTCTTAATAAGTTTTATTGAAAGACGTTAACTAAAGAATAAAGTTAATTACATGGACCTCTGAATTCCTTCTTCACTCTTTTGTCTTTGTCCCCTTTATGTGTCAGTAAGTACTAACCTTTAGCTTTGCCTGGGAAGCCTTAAGAATCTGTATCCTGTCATCCTGAGCTATTTTTTCAGTCAACTCGGCTAGATAAAATGGCACCTAAGGTGTTATTGTGAAAAAAGTTATTTGACGAAATCAGCAACCTTGCTTTAAGTAATAAAGCTTAGTTCATCAGTCAACTTCAACGGCTATGCCTTAAGAGCTGAAACAAATTTTACTGAATGATGCACATGCCCAACTTTAAACCCCACCCCCCCCCCCAAAAAAAAAAACCACACACACACACACATCCTCCAAGAAAATTGACATAATCAGAGGGGGAATGCATAATTATATATATGAAGGAAGAAAAAGTAATCCAATTTGCCAGTACAAATTATTCAGCATCCTTATGAACGTTGCAGAAGAGAAAAGAATCAAACTACCATTTCTATGACGAAACTTAATCCATTAGAAATTCCACCTCTATATCATGTAGGAAACTGTGAATATAATCTAAGCGCATCGCGTAAATACTTTAACAACAAGGTATTGGTTACCACTTCAAAGGAAAACGAAGATTGCCCTAAATTCCTAGACCAGTTGGACGCAACCATTCGAACAAGGAACTTATAAAGATTGAACGTGAAGTTCAGAAATTCATCGTATCCCCTTCTATCATAAACCGTCAAATAAGCCAATGCCAAGATCATTTCAAAATAAACTATTTTCACAGCTCATTGTGCTTCAATTTGGCGTTCCTGATAAACGACTTCTTAGTGCATAACTTTTAAGTTTCTTCTTAGATACAAGTAATATCTTATATGCCATACTATTTACCTTCTTTCAACATGTGCAGAAAACCGAAGTGAAAAACTTAAATATGTTACCCGATTTTCTAATTATTTATCCAAAGCAGAAATATGATTTTTTTCCCTCTTCATGTTCCAATGAGTTAAACAAAAAAGATCTGTAAGGTGAAGACGGGTAAGCATATCTTTGTTCCTGGTTTGAACTTATTGTTGACGGACATTTATATAAAACTAAGACCAGGAAGAAAACAATAAAAGTAGAAATTTTGAAGACTCATTAGTGGAAAATAGTAAGCTTGAGAAGAGGAAACCAATCAATCAAAATTGAAAATGCAGTGAAAGAGACGCGTCCTCTGGTGAAGATTCGACAGTAGATTAGTCCATGAAAATCGTAATATTAGAGAGCTTTAATTACCACTTACGAGAATATACTTAAGACTCGTGGTAATAATATCATCTTTGGTCTCATTAGCCGAGAACAGACCCAGCTTATTTATCATGTCCTCGCACTTCCCCAGGGCCTCGCAACCTTTCCTCACAAGCTCCTGAACAAACCCCACCATCAAACTAGCAACTTCTAAAGAATAACGTGTCCAAGTCGAACTAGAGAATGAAACAAAGACACAAGTGTTAGCGCAGGCGTACCTGGTCAGCCCCAGACTCCGTTGCTGTTGTGTGAATCTTCCGGGCTTGCTCAAAGAGAGATGGTAGTGGTATGTCCTCCATTATGCATTCAACCATTGTGAATCAATCAAAGTAGAAAGAACAGCCGTATAGGAAAGCCTAATAAGTCAGATTCCCTCAAAATTCTGCAGGTGAAATTGAAAAGAAAGTAGGAGGAGTTTGGCGCTATTCTGAAAGGCGTGCTTTCCAGAAAAATGAAATTTCGGAGGCCAGAGGAAGCAAAAGTTCAAGAAGAAGAGCGAAAATGGTCGATAAACCCAGAGAACTCCAAGCCCCGAGCGTGGCTATTGAATGCGGAAGGGTGCACGGCATAAGCAGGACGCCCTGCGCATAAATCATGCCACCTCAGCTCATCTACTGGCAGAGAAAAAGGAAATCGATGTTTACGAGAATTCAACTCCTGTACTCCAAGAAATGTGACATTTATGCATACACACAGAATTTATAAAATGGACGTGACAAAAATATAATGTGAACTTGGTCCATAATTAATTTCTTAAAGCAGTATTCGCTTTTATGGATATTGAATACTTTAAGAATTTGAGTTAAAAACAAAGTTATGTATATTTTTTAAAATTATAGAGATATATAGCATAAGGCAGCCAACAAACATTTTAGTTCTCCACACCTTTAACAAATTAAGCCGCGCACTGCTACGTTTTATTTTATGGCCTGAATATCAATAATCAATTATATCGTGCATTGATTTATTTATATTTCTTATTTTGACCTTAAATACCACGTACTGGTTAAACAAGAGAAAGCTCCATGTTTGTGCAATCCAGATGAAGAGTCGAGTGGCGAAAGCGTAACATGCACAGCATGCTTGGCATTGCCATGGAAAGGACGAAAAACCAGGCTTCTTTTCTGCGGAAACAAAGAGAAGAGGCTTCTTATTCAGCCATGTTAGCCGCAAGCTCTTCCTGATACAGATAGTGATGTTCTTCTACGACTTATCAGGCATGTCGTATTCCTCTTCAAGCCCTCCGTTTACCTTGTCCAGGCACAATAATTCTACATCTGATGTGTCTGTCCTCTGCGGAAAAGCCTTCTTCTGAGTTCCCCAAGTCCATATATGATATGGTTTTTAATTACATTCTGTCCTGCTTGTCGGATACTTGGAAATTAACCTCTTCACTTCTGTCACTGACCCTGTCTTCCATATCTTCATATAATAATAACATGTACGTAATAGTATCCGTCCTCAATAATGAGATGTACTATCTATCTTTCTGTGCGGGGAAAAGAAATGGACCCATCACCCGTGCGGCCATTGAAATCTCGTGTCAAATCAGGATCCGAGCTAACCAGAAAAAAGCAAGCACGGTATGAATACAAGTCAATCTTCATGGACCCAGTACACCCTGTTAAAAATTCGAGATCCGTGGTGGGAACACTGCGTACGACTTTGTGTTCCTCCGCCACTAAATTCCCATGTTAGGATTAATTGTCATGTGTCATACTGGTTGGATTAATATGTCTACCCTCCACCTAACCCAGAGAATTATTTTACTGGCAAATTTAGTATGTTTCCATGTTTGCTTAGAAGTCTGAAGAAACTAATGATAATCGCCGCCTGTGCGACGTTGTTCTCTCTCTTTGGCAGAAAGGGTTCACTCATCCCTGACCCTGAGGAAAGTGGGAAAGAAGAAAAATACAAGAGTCCAGGGAAACATGTGGGGCTAATATGGGTCACTCTCTCGCTGAAAAACTGGGAAGTGGGCTCAAATACATCATAGCTTTTCTCATATTCCGTTAACGTGATATCGCTCTTTCAACTGAATGTTCAGTCTTACACGTGTAAACATCCATTGTTCGGCCTTCGCTCAACCCATGCCCATTCATAAACGATACCTTTCACATCACATACATTGGTTTTCCTGTTTGGTCTTTCATGTCGGATTAACATCTCTAATAAAATATACTTCTGAAGCCACATATTCTCTTCCCTACTGCTGTCCATGAGATTCTGCAGGTTGAAGCCACATTTTCTTTTCCCTACTGCTGTCCATGAGATTCTGCAGGTTGCTGTAAGTTCTTCAGTGATGGTTATCATCTTTCTTTGCACTCTTCGTTTTTTACTACTGTTTTACATTGATGGAACGGGTAAAATATAAATAGTATCAATTATTGTATCAGAGATACTTGCTTCTCATTTATGATCCATTAAATCAAAGTCTTTCTCAATTACGATTTTGTGTTTCAGAGCCGAAAAAGCAAATCTTGTGGTGATGGGTGAGAAGGAGATCTCTGGTTTTGACATGAATGGGTCTGACAACAAGAGTGGTGATACCGTGTACCCTTTGTATTTTGGTGTTTCATGTGCGCTTTTTGCACTCCAAGTTCTCTCAAAACCTCGCTTTGAAATTGAAAGGTGGTGTGAGATTCGTAATATCATGCTTCAAGGAAGTGCACGGCTTTTAGGGTTGCTTGTGTGGAAAGTTCAGAAGCAAAGTCCGGATGGGGGAGACTGCGAACTCAGGAGTGCCAAGAGAGAAATTGAAAACTTGAGAAGTCTGAGACACGAAGATGCCAAAGCCAACGAGAAAGTTGTGAGCATCTTCGCTACACAAGAACAGAACTGGCTAAGCGAAAGGAAAATGCTACATCAACACATTGGGGCTCTGATGAATGAACTCAGGATTCTTGAGAAAAAGAAGGAAGAAGCTGCATCTGAATTAAATAAGAAATTGAAGGAAATGGAGGTTTTGGTAGAGTCTAAGGACAAGGTGTTGAAAGAAGAGGAGCAGAAGGGGACGGAGCTCGAGGAGAAGTTGACAGAGGCGGAAAGAAATGCAGAAGAGTTGAGAGAAAATGCCAAGCGTGAAATTCAGGAGCATTCATCTGGGCTCTGGAAGCAAAAAACTGCCTTCATCGGAAAGTTGTTGGAGCAGAAGGAGGAGTCAGAAATGATGATCCAGAAACTATCAATGGAGGTTTCAGAATTGCACAAGGAATTGGAACGGAAAGGCAGGATTTTGTCGGCAATGTTAAAGAAAGCTAAGCTGGATGCAGCAGAAAAGCAAATGCTAATAAAAGAGGCTAAATTGTCAAAGGCTAGAAGGAAACAAGCAGAACGAGAGACAGAAAAGTGGAGGGCAGTCACAGGTGGAAGATATAAAAGACATTCACTAAGAAGCATGTTGGTTCGCTTAGGTTCAACAAGGCTGCAACACGTTTCAAAAGAACCAAAACATTTTTCTCACTTATCTGATCACTACCTGCCCAAATCTTATGAGGAATCGGGTAAGAACTGAGAACAAATTACTCTAGATTTCTACTTGAACCTATATTATTCGTGTATTTAAAAAAAAAAAATCTATAACTGTAGCTTCTATCTGTCTGTAGATATTACCGGTAACGGGAAGCATTTGGAAGAATGGGTAAAAGCGGAGGCCCAAAATTATGCAGCTATGATTGAGCAGAGGCATCAATTAGAGCTTGAAGCTTTTGCAGAAGAACTGAGTAATAAAGCTGAGAAAATAGAGGCATTTCAATGGCAATTGTTGAGGATGGAATTAGAAACAAAGAAGCTGCAGTCCCACGTGAGAGGATTAATCAAGGATGTCGCACAGCTCAGACATGATAAGATGAAGTTGGAGACAACGCTGTTGGAGAGAGACAAGGAATTGACTTCCCCGAAAGAGAAACTTGCATTACAATTGAAGTCTCCAGACTGCTTCAAACATAACTTGCTGTTGCCTTCACAGTCATCAGAGCGAGCTGAAGATGCCATTTGGTCCGAAATCAAGAGAAAATCAGTTGAGAAAGAGCAAGAAATGAAGGAAATTTCGATGGTGGAATACTGCGAGAAGGAAGCGCTATCAGCAGAAATGGAGGACAGTCTTGTGCAGAAGAGGAATCTGAGTGAAGTAGACCTTGATGCTGCCGAAAACATAGCGTCCACCAGCCAGAGCTCCAATGAGACAAGCCATTTCCCATGGAAAATGGATCTTTATGCTGTTGGAGTGTTTTACAAGATCAAGAGGCTAAAGCAACAACTTGTTCTTGTTGACAGATTGATAGGACGGCAAGCCAGGGGGGGAGAAAAAGAAATTAATGATGACAGCAACATTGACATGAAGATTTATCTATCATTGACTTCTGTGCTGAATAAACAAGTTCAGAGATACCAATCCCTCCAAGAGAAGATGGACAATCTTTGCAAACTGATGGTAAAAATCATTTTAAGTAATTTTGTCAGTTTCAAGTTATAATCCATTCATAACTCTACATACAGCTCCTTCATCTTCCAATCAGTTAAAGGTCACAACATCTTTAGTGATTTATTTTCTTCCTTGATTGGGGTAATTCTCAGATGTTATACATTGTTTCAGCATGAGAATAACCTACATGCAAATCGTGGGGATTTGAGTGCTGCAGCCACCAAGGGTAAAACAGAAACACTGGAGCAATTCCTAGAAGAAACGTTCCAACTGCAGAGATGCATAGTTGCATCAGGAGAGAAATTGGTGGAAATTCAATCCAGGATGGTTCCTGGGTTCGCAGGGGTGGCCAAAGAGATGGAGAAAAGTTCTGGAATTGACGCGAAGAGATTTGCCCATAGTATTAGAAATCTACTGCAGGAAGTTCAAAGAGGCCTTGAAATTCGGACAGCTCGAATAGTTGGAGATCTTGAGGGGGCACTAACTTGTCAAGGGATGATGAGGTTGACAAGATAGCACTGGGAAAGTGGGAACCTTTTTTGTTCCTGTGGCGCTTCACATGATGACCTTCGTGTATTTATATGTCTATACTGATTTCTTCAGCTTTTTTTTTTTTTTTAACCAGGATTTCTTTGGCTAATAACATGGTAGTTTTGTACAGAGAAGTCACAAACAGATACCCCTGGAGTTGTAATTTTAAGGCTTTTTCTTTCTATATTCTACAATGTGTTCCATGCAGCAACTAATGGCTCACCAAGTTAAACATCAAGGCAAGAGTTCATCCTCCCATGAAGTTAGAGAAATTAAAAGAAAAGTTCCATTGAATCGCTTCATTGGTAAGTTTTTAAATCTTTAATCACATGACAGTGACCATAAAAGTCTCTGCTTACCGCATATCTGTCTGTTCCAGAATCAATAAACTATAACAATCTAAGGTATGTGTTTGTGTTTATACTCTGTGTGTGTGTGTGTGTGTGATATAACGATTTTCTCTGTGGGACAGTGTGAAATTGTTTTGGTGGAGTGTTCATTTTGCAACAGTCACCATTGGATGAAGCAAATTTAAGAATTTAAAAAGAAAAAAATGTTGGACGAAAAAGAGTATAAACCAGGTTTTGTGGATCCGAAACTGTGAAAAGCAGTCACTTAGCATGTTGACTGTCAAGCTCCCACGTCCAGTCACGTGTGTCTGTCTCGTCCAGAC